GACATATCCCAGCGTCCCAGTGTAAATGACACCTATGAATGTAGTAGCAATTACTGTCACACAATTAATAACTGTTTTACGGAAGATTTGCCTGTTTAGTAGTAGTTTTCCTAAAGAAATAATGATAATAGCTTGGCCAGACATTTTTAAGTTCAAAAACATGTGACTGGAACTGACAAAAACTCCACCCTTTCTCTGCCTCATCCTGTTCTGTCTGACCTATGCCATTCTCCCAACATCCCGCTCCTTTCTCAAAGGCCTTGGCAGTTCCCAGAAAATGTAACCTCATCCCGGGCCGTTACTGTACCACTGAAACCTTCATCCAGCAACCAGAGGCTTCTGCACAGTAAGGCACAGTAAGTACACTCTCATTTAGTCTTTGCTCTTGATGTAAATCCTAGCCTGCATATATTTCAAAAGTGGTATTTCTAAAATTTTGCTAGCTGTTTGCACAAAGACACACAGGATGAGCAAGCAATATTTTTTTTACCAATGACCTTTACTTTTGAATGAAGTGTGTCATGGAAGCTTTAACGCAAAACGAGATTTACAAAAAGAGAAGAGGGGGACGGGATGCGTCTGTCTATGCATGTGGGTCTGCATACGGCTACAGTGTCTGTGCGTGTAACTCTGTACATATGTGCACACACATGCATGCATATGCACATGCCTGTGTGTCCATAAACAAACCTCCATCTGTGCCTCCAACACAGCTGCACTGTGATGGCATGTCCCGGCACAACCCCCATAGCCCGGAGAAGTCTCTCTCTCTCGGTCTCTCTCTCAGAGTCATACACTTGCACAGTCACATACTCTCTATTTAAGCAAGCGCCAAACATTCTTTAATCAAATTATTTTGCTGTCTTGCCTTCTCTTACTGCTGTCTTTGTCTATATCCTCCCACCACTCAGTTTCCCCTCTCTTTCCCAGCTTCCCCTACCATGTTATCTTGGTCACACCTTTCAAGCTGAGTTACAGCCTGCAAGGACAGGAAGTGTGGCACTACTACAATCACCTGAGGAGCTTCTCTCGACCATAGCTTGTCTCTGTCAGCCCATGCACTGCAAAAACATGTCTGCCTGTCGCTTTGTTTACCGTCCATTCACACACCACCGCCACCGCCAACACCCCCAAAAGCTATACACAACAATACATACAAGGTTTGGTAAGGGCCCTTTCATCTGTGCCTCGCAACATATGCCATTTGCCACATGTGCTCAGTCATAGTGTAGGCCGCAGGTGTAAAGAGTCCGTTGGTGTTTCTGGGCAACATGAGCAGAGCTAGCACTCTCTGGGTGGGCGTAAAGGTCATTGAGGAAGATGTTTCTAAGGATGTGTTGTGTCTAGACAAAAATGTCTAGACAAAAGGTAAATGTTATTAAGTGTTTATGATAATCATAATCAATGATGCTGATATCCCACATCCATGTAAATAAAAGCATCTGCTGGAGATTTCTTTCTGACCATTAAATGAATGCCACACGTCTTAATGGGCTCCACTTTCTGATCCTGATACTGTAGCCCTGACGAGTACAGTAGCTCACACATATCATCATCACAGATCATCCTGCATCATGTGGAATACAACATCCAGTCAGACTGCAGCATTGTGCTAGGCTAGGCTAACCAGATGCTGACTCCAGCTTCATATTTATCATACAGACAAGAGAGTGGTATTAATTTTCTCATCGAAACTCTTGACATGAAAGCGAATGAGCATATTTCCCAAAATGTCAAAGTACTCCTTTAACCTCTTTCCATTTACAATAAGACACATCGCACCTTACAGTCTCTCTGCTGTTTTCCGTTGTCCCTCATCGTTCTTGCCTTTGGAAATGACAAACGCAATCACACTCTTGTTTCATCCTGTCTTTTTTTCCCCATACTCTTGGCACAAAGCAGTTTCATCTACAGTAGCTAAGACAGTAGCTGAACGGCGCAGCCGAAGAAGCATCTGCTACTGCCAGGGTTTAAGAACCTGGAGGATTCAATAAAAGAGGGGCAGGCACATGCAAAAGACTGGCAGAGGGGACACAGACCATTAGCTTAATGACAGAATGAGGAATGAGGAAGAGGGAGATGAGATTCAAACTCCAAGCATTGCAAAATTCGCCTTTAACCAGAATCAAGGCGAGTAATCTAATAAATAGCGTGGCAAGGAGAGGCGTGTTGTTTTTTTTGCCTAAGGTAAGGGAAGAAGAAAAAAAAGAAGGGTAAACAGGAGAGAAAAGGATGGCGGTGTCATTAAGTTGGCTAGCCGTGACCATCAGGAACATTAATGCTGTCTGCTCGGCTTTCTTCAAACTGGTACCCTTTGCTTTGAACTACTGCTGTCTTCTCTGTGAGCATACCTGACTCCTAGCTTCCACAGCTATTATGGACCCTGCACTGGTAATTACACATTTCACAATTTCTGATGTCACTTCAAAGCAACTACAGCCTTGCCACCAAAGCAAATACTATGCCTCTGCAGTACAAAGCCAAGCCTCAAGGATTACTGAAGCCACACATTGTTTTGCTGCCGGTCACTAATTCAATTAATAGTATAAGACTTTAAACTGACTTGAAAGAAATTGTTCTGACACAAGACAATGCCTTCATGATACCTTAAGGATTTCCATATTTTGTTGCTAAAATGCAAAACAAAAAGTTTAGCCTGGAATTACTGTGTGCACTTTCTCTTGTTCCTCTGCCTCTATTTTTTCCTTTAAAAGGATGTACAGCAAAATGTGTCTACATGATGCATCAGAGCAGAGGGCTTTGGCAGGATCTTTCCCAGAGTGAAGAGAGAACGCACAGTAAAGCTAAACAACATCAGCTTCAAGAAAAGAGGAGTCCGAACAGAACAAATCAAATGCTGTCATTTCAACGACTCTGCAAGGCCTCAGGCAGCCAGATCTCATCTTGATCAAAGCAATGAAGCTAGCCTCAAAATAGATTTACTCCCCCCAAAAAACCTTCATAAATGCCACTTTTGTAAAATCTTAGTTCAGACTGCCCGATCTAAAATAGATGTGTGTTACTGCAAACAAAAGGTCTGAGTCATCCACATGGGGCTACTGATGGCAAAGGAAATTTGAATGCCCACTAAATAATTGTGACAGGTTGCAGAACAAACAGCAGTGCTGACAAATCTAAAATTCAGAACACAGGAGGTCTTTACTCGCCAGAGGCAACGCCTCAAAGGCCTGGAAGTCAGCAGATAAGTGATATTTAATTACCGTCATCTCTATTTTGTTCACTACATTGGTAGAGACAATCTAAGGTGCTTGTGGACTGTTGTGAGCTCAGCATGAGCTGTCTGCGGTTTGCGAGCTCAGCTTGAGAAGAGTCTCAGGGCACTACCTCAGATCACACATTCTACAATTCAGGTTCTAAAGAAAACTGCATCTCAGACTGTTTTAAGAGCAACCTTTGCTCAAAGTTTGTTGATTACTTTACAATTAACACTCCAAAGGTCCTCTGCTTAAGGATAAAACTTCTTCCCGTATTATGTGTCTGGCCAAACATTCTGCAAAGAGGGGAAATTTCAAGCAGAGCAGCATATTATTAATATACACATCAAAGCAAAAGAGATGCTCTCACCAAACACTGTAATGACATTTGACAATCGCTCTCCTATTTTTGCATCACTGAACGATACATTTCTTTCAAGCAGTGGTTTCTTTGCATCATTAAAAGCCCATAGTTTTCTTGTATCTAAAGTTCAAGGCAGTCCTGAGACAGTGCTCTTGATGGAGATGCTGAGACGTGGCAGCAAGAAACAAGAAACGGGGCCACGGATCCCACAGGAACCCCTTCCTCTCACTAAAGCTCTGTCTGCCCCTGAATTTAATTAGATTCTGATATCAAGCCTTTTTCTCCTATGCTTTCCTTCCTCTTCAACATGCGTGAAATTGCACTGCACTATCTATTATTTATTCACTCTCATTTGCTTATTGTTTCCTTTGGATGCCTTCGTTAGGGCACTTGCAGCTCTGCCTGTGATATGACGCTCTGCTTCATCTCCCTCACCGCTCAGACTCACCTCCTCTGCAGGTCTGAGCCCAGCTCATTTGCTGCCCTGCCGTTGGCTGGGGAGCTATGGATTCCCCCCCTCCCTTTCCACCCAATGACAGCACGGAGAGGTGCTATGAGAGCTGGGTGCTAATGAGCTGACTCTGCAATGCTGGGGGAGATGCTCTGTAACACAGGGGGGAGTGAGAGGCCGGAGCAGGCGGGGGATGCTCTGGCACATGAAGAGTCAGAGGGGCCATTATGAGCATGCCACATCAGGGTTAGAGGGACTGAACCACGTCAGTCAGACAGAGCTGTGAGTCTCCAAAGTCGCACCATGGGATGGATCTTAACCACATAATAGGAACCAGACAGGGATGGGAAAAAGAAAACAAGTGTTGGATATAATAGATACAATACCAGTTTACATCTTTCTTCTTGAGGAGTGAATCATTTATGTGACGAAAATGGAAGAAATCTACACAGCACTTGTCAAGTTTTAAAATCCACTGCTTCCACTGAACACCTGAACTCCTCCAGCGCTGAGTCCTTGACACTGGGCTTGAGTAACTGCCTGGGTTTTCTTCTCAAGGCCAGCATTGACTGTATACAGCAACTTATTTTACAGTATGGAATTAATGTATTTGTATTTTAAGGCAGAAACAAATGCTGTAAATGTGCACTATGACTAAAACAGCACTATGGTCTATAACCATATAGCTGAAAAAAATAAATCACATTTCTACAAAAAAAGAAAGAATGTAAGAAAATGATGTGTGATAAACATGGGAAGAACACTGTGTACTTTAGGAATAATCTGTATTTGCAAAGGTTTCTAGAATTCCCATTGAGACTTTCTGAACCAGAGTGGAATGAGATGAACTTGACTGCTTCCCCTTGGGTTGAGATGTAGCCTCTATAAGCTCCACACTGTGCGAGTTTGACATAAATAATTCTGGCTGTAGTGGGGAATCTGGACATGACTGAAATAGAAGCACACTTACACGCATGGGTGACTGAAAAGCTGTTGGAAGACTCGAGGTTGTCGACATTGTAGTTGAGGTGGAAAGGCTTTTCAGTGGTGTTTTGGTTGGTGTTGTAGAGTTGGACAGCGAACCTGAACGCGCTGTGCTCCTGCACCGTGGAACGCATGAACAGTCCCCCTTAAAGAGATTAAGAGACCAAGATCAGACAAAGCTTTCACAGTCGCATTAGTCCAGTGTCAGTTTTGGACCTCACTTCACTGAGAGAGGAAAAACTCTATCCGTCCCATTGTGATATAAAGGAGGCTGCTTGTTATTTGTATTAACTATCCTGCATTCTGACCAGTGAGCCTGTCTGTAACTCTTCAGATCGTGCGAGGGGAACTGACCGTCTCCCGTCTTCCTTATTATACACTTATTATACTCAATAATTACAATGACACAGGCAACATACAAGTGGCTTTAATCTACACAGTTTTCCACAATCAGCGGCTTTAAGCGTGCAGCATCTGTAAAAATCAAGTTAGTCTCTATCATTGCGCAGAGCTCCGCGCTCTTACAGATCACATCTCCCCGGTAAAAAAAGAAAATTACAATCATGCGTTTGATCAGTCCACACAAACCACATTTTGGATCCGTTTAAAGCGGCAAAACACTTACCGATATTTATCTGGTTAGGAAATCCTGCAAATGATCTGTCAGAGAGCCACAGCAGAAACAAAACCACGCGCTGTGCCATTTTCTCCGACCTATCTGTTCAACTCCTTAAAAGGATCTGTCTGAGCAAATTCATATGTTCTGGATGGAAGCCGCGCGCTATGGAAATCCAGTGGACAGATGATGGTTGCTCACAGTGCACCAATTAGGTTCATTGAGGTGCAGCCCAGCTGCAGAGCATTTTTTGCAACTAAGAGAGAGAGGGGGGGGGGGGAGAGAAAGAATGAGAGAGGGAGAGGGAGGGCTGGTGTGGGGGAGAAGGAGCTGATCTGAACTCCGATTGGACCCGTCGCGGCGGGCCAGTGTTGGTCAAACTTGATCTGACGTTAAAAAAAATTTTTTTTAAAGCGTCAGCCCGATATATTATGACGGCTTGGAATAAGCGCTGCACTGGCCAATATTAGCCTTCTCTTGGCCGAATCAACAGAAACACTGCAATCTCAACTGGCCAATGACTCCGACCAGCCTGGCCACTTGCAGCTGCCGCATATGTCTCCAGAACCCGCGATGAAGCGGACTGGGGTTATTTTCCTCACTGGGACACACGCCTGAAAAGTTTGTGTCCACATTGTCCAATCTCAGTCCATCCGCGTTTCTCTCCAGCGTGGCTGAGAAAACATTAAGGTGTTTTCACACACACACACACACACACGTAGAGGAGGGCGGAAGTAAACGGGGAGACAGAGACAACAGAACTGTCTATGGTCCTGAAACTGATCATGGTTGAAAGTGTCTGAGCAAAAACTTTGGCTCATTGTATTTGTTATTTACCTTGCCGGAAATTATAAACACATAAAAAAAAACATTTAACTTCCTTTGGAGGTTTGGTCATAATCAACTATTTGTCAGTGCGATCTGCATCTCCTTTTTATTTACTTTAAGTTTTCCTCTGTCTCTAATGAAACATCTATCATTCATATGAGTATGCCTAAGAGAGAACAATTAAAGGATTACTGGCCCATTTATCACCCTCAGCAAAGTGCTTTGAAAATTGAGTTTTTAATTGCATTGCAAATGGCTAAGGCTTTGGCTATTGATACTGTAATGCTTATGTTGAAGTTCCCTTTAACAAGAGGCCCAATGTGTGTCTTGTTTCAAACTTTTTAGCATCCAAAGACAGTGTGCAGGGACACCCTGTAAACTTACAGAACAATGAATGACTGACATAAGGGTGATGAGTCTTATCATTTTTCACGTTTATATTATTATATTACAGTATAAAGTGTAACTGGGCTCATGTGTTCATATGTGCTGTTCATGTGTCATTCATGTCAATCAAGTGATGATGTGGTATGACCAGGTCATCAGAGGGGGGACATTTCCTGTCAAAACCGGGTCAAAGTTGATCTCTATTCCCACAACTCACCGGCTCTCTGGGGACGAATCTGGGATGACATCACATTGATTCACTGGTCTCCACAGCAGGACGTTGGTTTGTGTGATCTTAATGGCTGAAGTCATAAGGACCGAGGTAAAAGCGTGACCCGCTCATTTCTCTGGTGTGCCATTTGAACAGACGCATCACATTGCACCTGAATCTGAAAACACTGATTTTAGTGGGAATAAGATGCCACCTGTGATGTTTTTTTGGTAAAATGTTGTACAAAACAATTAATTGGAAGAATACCAAAGGAGCCATTCAATTGGTCATTTACAGCGCATGCTGGTTCTCAATGTGAAGTGAGCTAATCATGTAATTTCAAACATAACCCATAAAGAAAAAAACCTTAATGGCTACAAGCGGAGCCCGGTATTTGAGATAAGGCCTTGATATAATTGATATTAAATGGTGATGATTCTGCTGCATTACTTGCAATTAGGATATTTTGGCCATGCTGTGTTATCCTCTAGGCTCAGCCTCTGAAGGAATTCAATTTTGTGTAAAAACTCAGATATGATCTATATGAAAACAAATAATTATATGATGTGCCTTTCTTGGATTCACTCACAGGAGTGTTACTCAAGCAGGCGAAATGAAAAGACTGAAAAATACATGAAAAGATGTTGCCTTTTATCTCATGGTGATGATGATTCACAGGCTATGGCTCTGAGCAGTGCAAGCCTCACCAGCAAGACTTATTCATTTGCTCCCTGCTTTCTCTTCCTATCACAACAGGATGAAATCTTCATCTCTGCCTCTTTGAGGATACGTGAGCAAATAAATTAGAAACTACAACATTTGTTAAAAAATTAGAAAGTCTCTGTCTCTATGGGATGCTTGGGGCCACAGGTGTAATTATTTTTAGGTTTAATTTGTTTCATGATTACTGGATAATTATTCCGTCGTCTTGACAGAACAAACTCGTGTTCTTGTGATCATATCACGATAAAAACACATGTGTGGTCATCACCTGTAGTCAGCAGGTGGAAGGAAAGTTTTGCCAACCTTTCACTGTCACTGATTTTTTAGGTTGAATTTATTCTATAATGATATATCAGCCAATAAATTGTTTTCTTACATAAACACAAAATATTTCTGATAAGAATCCTTAATATTTGGTATGTAAAAAATGTGACCGCAGTGTGTACTGAATGAGACATTCTCCAGTTGAAAATGAAACATGGTCAGTCCTTTCCGCTGGACAAATCAAGTAATGGGGTGTTGTCTTTAAAATTAAGCAATGTTTAATTGGGACTTAACGTTAAAGATTAACATGAATGTGACGGTCCCCGGAAGCCTAATGGTTACAGCACATGCCACATAACTGCAACGGTCCTCACGCTCCCTGTCTATCTCTCCCCACTGTCACTATCAAACAAAGGTGAATGAAAAAAAATAATAACCAAACAGTATTTTTCCTTTCTCAGATTGTTTCAAGAGAAAGTAGGCCTGTGCAGTAATTCGCAAGAATTTCTGTATGAAATACATAATTTTGCGTAACAGACAAATATGTTATTTCCCCCCTCATTCCTTGAATAATCTTGTGACCCCTCAGATTTGTCTTGAGAGCCCATGTTAGTCAAGCAATCAGTGTGCATAACTGCTGAGTGGAAAACCTGTATAGTGTCCTGTAGTGTTTTCCCATGGACTCCCAACACAAACAATTTGAGCCAGAGGTATCAATCTCAGAAGCCATCGGCTATCATCCGACGAAGCTTGAGTCTCCGGCCATTGTTTCAGAGTTTCTGGTGTAGCCAGCAGATATCCGGATAACGGATTACCAAGCAAAGACTTATTATCCCGACTTATTACAGTCCAATTAGCAATCTCGGAACCCTACAGTCTGATGATAAATTAAATGCATATACGTTTTCAAAAAGCTGATAAAAAGTTAATGTTTAAGGTTCCGAGATTGATAAAAAGCTAAATCACCTTCAGACGTTAGCCTGTAGAGATTGAATGTTGGCCAATGTGTCCCGCCTCTTTTGCTCTCCACACCGACTGTTTACCTGCATGCAACCAAAGCCCGCTCAAACCTGATAGATCAATATTACTCTGACCACAAAGAGAAACTATAACTTCTAATACAAAATCTTGTCCCTTGCCTACAGATTCATGCATTCATATGCAGATATCTGTTAATAGAGATTACAGAAGTATCAATAAAACGAGTGTTGTGACTCCAAGGGAAGGAAAAGGCCTGTGTTATTTTCTACATTTAACATTGGTGGGCACCAGCGTGGTGCAGAGTGAAAATGCTGCTACGTGGCTCCAGCATTTCCAGCTCTATAAAACCCAATTGGCAGTGTTCTTTGCAGCCACACTGGTAACTCCTACTGGTTGGTCAGGCCGTCTGTGTGGACTTCTTGAAGATCTGCAGGAGATTCTTTGAACCTCTGTCTATGCAACACCCTCCTGGTAAAGCTCCTCGCTGTCAGGTGAAAAGAAGCAGCTGGTGACCACATGTGTATCGGAGGAAGCACATGGCTGTCTACACCCCCCCTAGGAGAGCAGTGGGTGTTTCCACGGCAGGTTCTGCGGTACATGGGGATTTGGCCTTTACAAATTGGGAAAAAGGCCAAAAGGAAAACCAACAAATAAAAAAAAACACTATTAGAGCCAACTGCAGCTGCAACTGACCAAAAAGTCCCTGTTACAACAATGAAATATTCACTGCAAGTGGTCATTAATTGTTGGATTACAATATGGTCACCCTAGATTAGAGACAGACTGTTAACCACATCAGAATCATCCCCTTATTATCTAAAGATTATCCGAAAGCAGTTTTGGTCATTAAGTGGTGAAATAATTATTTCATGATCAAAGGAAAACAAAGCGTGTTATGTAGAGATAAGAAAATAATTCTTCTGTGATCAAGAAAAAACTAAACAAGAACATAACTGATTGGTCCATCCTGCTCATGTCATGCTGTTGTGAGACGTGAGCAAAACTGGCTCTGACACATCTGCTCAAACTCTCTGCGTGGTGATCACAGGCTTGGCATCCAGTAACTTGCAGATACAGAACCAGGTGTTTGGATAAATTCTTAAATCTGCTGCAGATTACCCTGGAGCTTCAATCTAATGGGTTGCAATCATAGAGGTATATAAGAAGTGTCCGTGATGTCACCCAGAGGTTTCTAGGCTTCCAGTGGCTCCAGCCATCGGGGAAATTAGCTATAGAGACTAAAACCGTTTTTGTACCAGACTGCAAACACGTTTATTTCTGCTACAAGTTAGACATTTTAACATGGGGGTCTATGGTGCCCGACTCGCTTTTGGAGACAGCCTCAAGTGGCCATTCAATTAACTGCAGCTTTCAGCACTTCTGGGTTGGCTTCATTTTTCAGCAATGGATGTTGCCGCTTGGTTGCAGTTTTAAATCTCCGATGACGACTTCAATTTCACCAGATTCATGTTGAGTAAAAATTGTCTGCATATCAGAGAAAATTGCTTTTCATGTCAAATACTCTGACTTCTAATGTATGATCAGTAAATGTCACATCCTATTTATTTTCCTTTGCTCACATATAACTCACCTTTCAATCTCTCTTTTGCCTAAGATCTAGTGCCCTGCCTTACGTCAATCCTACTACTAAATTCAGTAATCATAGAAATGGGTTCCTCTGGCGAAAGACACAAAATGAGAGGGGGTGAATTAGTATTGTAGGAAGGATGCAGTTAAACAAGCATAATGCAGCTCAAACTCAATGATTTGGAGAGCTTTTCCAAGAGCCCATCAGTCTTGGCCAGATGTTGGAGGCTGATAAGAGACACCGCTCTC